TGTTTTATAATTGACCACATTCAATAATTTCAACATCATATTTTGGTTTATTAGTTTGAGGATTAACAGGTACTTCTTCAATAGTTCTAACAACATTCATACCATCAATAACTTGACCAAAAACTATATTTTTACCATCTAACCACTCAGTAGCAACACAAGTGATAAAAAATTGACAACCATTACTATTTGGACCAGCATTTACCATTGATAACATGCCTGGACCAGTATGACGAAGTTTAAAATTTTCATCAGGAAATTTATCACCATAGATGGATGTACGTCCTGAACCATCATTATTTACAAAATCACCACCTTGTATCATAAAATCTTTTGATACCTTGTGAAATTTACAATGTTTATAACCTACAGGTAAACCTGCTCTTTTATATTCACCAGTACAAAATTGTCTAAAATTTTCTGTAGTTTTTGGTACTACATCTTCAAATAACTCAATCTTTATACGTCCAACTGATTGTCCTGCAATAGCAATATCAAAAAAAACTATTGGATTTTCTTCTTGTTGATTTATTTGATCATTATTTTGTTCTGATTTTTCTGACATTTCAACAATTAAAAAAAAAAAATAAAAAAAAAAAAAATATATAATATTAATATTTAATAGAACTATTAGTTTTAATAATATATATATTTATTTATAAAGATTTTTTTATAAATAAAAAAAAAAAATATTAATATTTATTTATTTATTTTAATTTATTTAAAAATTTTTTTTTTTATTCACCTAAATGTGATGGAGTAATTTTTTCATCTTCATCTTGATCATTATAAATATTTTCAGCCATTTGCCAAATTTGAATAATATTATCTTCAGCAACAGAAGCAATAGCCCAAGGATGATTTGGATTCCAAGAGAAATCAGAAATTTTAGAAGTATGACCACCATGAATAAATAATAATTCAGGTGGACCATCAGAGGCATCTTCATTATTTTGTTCTTCACCAATTCTAGAGAGATCCCAAATATTAACTCTTCTATCTGAACCACAACTTGCCAAAATGGTTTCATTGTGTGGTGAAAAGTGAACTTGAAATACTTCCTCACTGTGAGATACCAAAGAATGTAAACGAGTAGAGAGATTTCTCATATCCCATAGTGCAACCGTTTTATCATTGGAACCTGTTGCAATTAGAAATTCACAAAATGGATTAAATGATAAACTATTAACCTCAGCAGAATGAGCAACTACCTGTTGAACTGGTGTTTGTTGTCTTGTATCCCACAAGAAGAGTTTCTTGTCATCGTCAACTGAACCAAAATAGTTTTCTTGTATATAATGCCATGCAACATCTTCGGCAACGGATTGATGTCCTTTAAAAGTATGCAAAGCATTCACTGTACGATCAGATTTTGTAACATCATTGATATCCCACATACAAATTGTACCATCATCAGAACTACTGAGAAGATAACCTTGTTTCAAAGGTGACCAACTTACACCATACCCTTCCTTTTGGTGACCTTTCAAAACCAAATCTGGTGTACATTTATTGTCACTGGGTAGTGATAGATGATTACTGGTATCGAAAATATATACATCAGAGCTTACAGTTTTTGTTGCAATTACAGATTGATTCTGTGGCATTGCTCTAGCTCTATTGACTTCACCTTCATGATTAATCTTTTGAATAATTTCAATTTTCTCAGCAACATTTCCTATACCACCTACTTCTCCTTTTTGATCATCATACTTTAGTGAATCTATAGTTGCCTCATCAACTGGCAATTGAACTTTGGCAACCATCAGATAGTTTTGTTCGGCATCTGAAGTATGTGTACCCAATATTAATTTTTCTATACAATATACATCCTTATATGGTGATTTACTTGGTAACCATTGAACTGTAAGTGATGGCCATTCTAGTGCATGTGTAATTACCATATCATAGAGAAATGGTGTATGTCTTTTCCAAATCTTATATTCTTCATTTATTATCTTTTCTTCAATTTCTTCTTCACTTGTATTTATTGTATTTGTTGTAGAATTGTTTGTTGTATTATTATTATTTGACATGATTTTTTTATTTTAAATGAAAATCAATAAAAAAAAAAAAAAAAACAAACAAAAAAATAAAAAAAAAAAAAAAAAAGGCGGTTTTTCAATGTGTTGAACTTGAATTGATAGACAATGTTTAGATATAGAATCTCTTAAAATATACTAACTGGGAAAAAAAAAGAGCTATGAATTGTAATTCTGTATTAAATTGTCTTGATTAGGTTTAATGAATTTAAGACACTATCTTTATGATCATCTAGTATACTAGCTTTATTCTTTGGAATTAGTAAAAGTACAGTCAGAATAGCACGTTTTGAGTTTGTGGAGTTTTTGAGTTCTACATGTGTGGGTTTGAACAGAGGATCATATTTTAGAAATAATTGTGAATATACATTTGTCCAAAGAAACTTTATTGGGGAGCTGAAGGAAGAGCAGCCAATTGAAACGCCTTTATAATTCAATTCAATTATAATGCTCCTACAAACGTTTGATCGAAATTGTTTGGTTTGAGAGGATAGGAAAAAGTAGATGTTTGTTTGTTTGATGTTTGCTATCAAACGTTTGATGTTTGCTCGAAACCCAATCAAACAATATCGAACATTTATCAAACAATATCGAACATCCAAACAGCAATAAACATTAAAAATATTAACTGTATAAAATTCAATTCTAAAAAATTAATGATTTATTATTAATATACTGTAATTAAATAAAATTTAGAATAATTCATTATTTTCTTCAATGAATTTATTCCATTTTTTTAATAATGTTAAGGTTCCAATTGATTTGCAGCTAAGAGATGATCTCTCAGGTCGCACAATGTGTTTTGATGAAGAGAATAACCTTTCTAAATATATAGAAGTGGCTTCTATAATCAAATAATCCTTTGCCATCTTGAAAAGTGTAGGAAATAAGTTTTGATTGTTGTACCACCACTTGAGGGGAGTCTTGAAATAATCTGCTGTTGCTCTGGGTAGTTTTAAATATTCATCAATTTCAGAGTCGCAAAATCGATTTATTTGTGGAATTCCAAAATATTCTTCCATATTTCCAACCTTTCTATGTTGTTGAATATCTTCTTCCTGATTACTATCTGAGTTGTCTATAGATTTCCTTTGTTCGTATTCATCTCTTAAATATTTTTCCACTATTTCTATATATTCGGGATGATGATGGACCCATTTTTCCTTGAAGAAATCCATTTTAAAGCATGGATGCAAGACTGTGCATAGTGCCAATAGTGGTGTTTCATCAGTTAATACATAATATCTCTCCAAATGATCATAGGATTCCTCCAGTGCCTCTTTCAAAAAACCATATTTTTTTTTTCTTTTGTTGATTTAGCTAAAAAGATAAATTCTTTTAATTTTTCTTGTACGTAGTTGAAAGCAGGTAGTGAATTGGAAGCGTACCAATCCTCGGCTGATACTAATCTAATTATTTGTCCAAATGGTTCTAATACACTTTTTATAATTTGTAATTTATCCCACTGAATCTCTGTGGGTGCATTTGATAATACTATCTTTTTGTTATTAGATCCACTCTTACTGTAATAATTTGTTTTTTCATCTAGTTTAGAAAAAAAATAATTAATAACAGGTTTTAAATCTAACATATTCTCCACCATTTCTAATTTTGATACGAATCTAGTGCAGACATCTATTTTGGTTATAAGGTTGTTGTATCCTTTTAGCTCACAACATTCTCTAAATAGTTCCCTAGTTCTTCCTGATTTTCGAATTACTTTTGTAATTCTCTTGAAAATCATTATTATCTCTTTAATATCTGAATTTTCAGAAAATGTCTGTGCAGGGAGGTTAAATGTGTGTGCCAAACATCTAATTCTGCTTTTGTTACCTCTGAATAAACCAACATTCCCAATTGATTCTTGTATTAACCGTTTTAATGGTTCACCTAAAGCTATCATGTTTGAACCATTATCAGTTGTAATTGATACCAATTTTGTATGAAGATTAAATTCTTGTAATGTTTCAAAAACAGATTTTGATAGCTTTTCAGCTGTATGACTTTCAGAGATTTCTATTAAATCTAACGGAAGATGGTATTTAGTTCCATTTAGTTGAAAATGAGTTGTTACACCTAAAATTTGATATCTGATCAGAAAAAAAAAAAGAAAAATATTCAAAAATTTTTGTTAATTTTTAAAAATCCCAAAAAAATTTTGATATACGTACTGAACATGAGGTGAAGACCACACATCTGAACAGATGGAAATAGCATCCACCTTTTCAAATAAAGAAATTATTTGTTTTTTTTGTGTTAAAAACAATTTATCAATTTTATTCTTTATTGCATCCCCTTTGGGGATTTTTAAAAAAGAATTTCCGAAACTCAAAAGTCTACTAAATTCTGGAATCTCTGTTATTGAGAATGGTAGGTAAGCAGCAACTATTGCTTTTATAATCAAACTTTCCAACTGTTCTTGTGTTGAACCCAAAATAGTATTACAAACATCAAATGATTGTTTTTGGTTAATGCTGAAATTCTTCCAAATTAAAGATCCACTAGTGCTAGAATTACTATCCGAACTGGTTTGGCTAATAGTTTCGCTCATTGTTGTTGTGTGACTAGAAAATAAAATTTTTTAATTCTTTTATTTTTGATTGAAATGTTTGATTTTTGAAATTTTTTTAAGAATGACGTTTTTCGTTTTTGTTAAAGGCGTACCTATGCCCAGACCCTAACATGTAGTAGTTGGATCTAAAGTTTGTGAGAGATACAACTTTCTTAACTATAATTTAATATATAAAATGAACTAAAAAATGTAAGAGATACAGTATTAACAGTTACGCTAAAAGGTCTTAAGATGATAGTCATCCATTCCTGACTACCTTTTATGTATACTTTATACTAATCTATACTGTACTCTTGTGTAACTTGGTAAGGAGCATTCTTACAGAATAATGAAGTTTTTCGAACTTATTTATAAAAAAGTGTAAATAATTTTGAACATCATCAATAGGGACTATAGTTAAGTGGTAGAATTCATTCTTAGGGTGAATGAGACGCGAGTTCGATTCTCGCTAGTCCCCCAACCCTTTTTTTTTTTTTTTTTTTTTTTTTAATCTCTTACACTGACATTGCACAAATAAGCCAAATCATGAATGTCTCTAAATGGTTCATATTCTCTTCAATAAAGAATACATTCAATGAAGATGAAAACTACAGAACAATGATGACAATGGACAGGGCGTATGCAGAATGGGAGCAAGGAGGTATAAAACTATGGGATCTAAAGCTAAGACAAGAAGCCTTCAAGATATGGAATCTAAACAGGCTGCTTTGTCTACACCATGATAATAATGTTAGCGAGTTCCAAGGATGGTACATTAAACAAATCAAAAACAAAAAGATTGTCTCCGATATTCTCAGACCACAAGTGGATGCATGGGAAAACTATAGACAAGACCACGCCAGATCGACTCCTGAACTAAGAAAGCTAAAAGATGAAATAGGTGATATCAAAATAGTAAATGGGATTAGAAATGACCACAATCAACCCATCAAGTTAAGAGATATATACAAGAACTTGACCATCAAGAAATACAACTCTAGAGTTAGAAGGACTGATGGCCAATCCAATCTCCAACTAGACCTTAATCTACAAGGTATATTCCCTAGAATTGCTAGAATTGTTCATCACAAAGGTAGAAACACCTTCTTTAGATTCTTTGCAAGATGTCTACCTGGCATCAATCACCAAAGAAAGAGATGCCCTCTAAATGAATGTAGTTTAACATTCTCTGACCCATACATCCACTTTTTTTTCAACTGTAAGCTATCAACTAAACACTGTAACGAAATTGTTCCCATTGTCAACCAACTCTCTATCAAGAAAATCCACTCTTGGAGTCTAAATGCCATAGATCTAAATCAAATCAGCCACCATGAGAAAACATTCCCAACCCTGATGGCTATAATAATGAACCAAATGTGGAATATAATCTGTTACAACCTCTTTGAAACTGACAAATCCAATAAACCACCACCTGTAATGAACACAGCTATAATAAGAAAAGAACTATCCGAAACAATCAACATCGCCAAATGGAAACTGCTAAAATACCTAGACTACCAATCAAGGATCAACAACTCCAATGACGATGTTAAACTTAAATTTGAATTCAATAGAAACTGGCAAACAGTTTACAATCCTCTACCAATTCCACACAATTAAAAGTAATATTAAAAAAAAAAAAAAAAAAAAAAAAAAAAAAAAAAAAAAAATAATAATAATAATAGTAAAATTCCAATTTGAACAACTGAAAATAAAGAAGAACTTACAAACAAGAACTAAAACAAGAAGACCCCATAAGAAGAAAACAAAAACAAGAAGAAGAACACACCTATCACAACATAAATGTATCAATCACAACTCGCAATCAAAACTCACATCACAAAAACAAAACAATCAAAACCAAGATAAATACCATTTAACACCAACCACAACACAATTTTAACAGATAATACCTCTCAATAAATAAACGTAATTAAGACTTTACCGTAGTACTGGCGCATTGCTAGTTACACAGGTCCAAAAAAAAATCTTACACTGACATATATCTCTTACTCTGACAATTGCAATACGCTAAAACGGCTAATTACACTTTAAAGTTTAAAAATTATATTCGAAAAACTGTGATATGTCAGTGTAAGAGATTAAAAAAAAAAAAAAAAAAAAAAAGGGGTTGGGGGAGAATCAAAATAAACATTCATTATTATATATTCATCAAATATACATGTATATTAAATAATAGTATAGGTAGTAATAGTAGTAGTGGTGGTAATAATAATACTTCTAGTGATTCTCTATTGGGAGGTAGTGGTTCTAGAGATAGTACAGGGAGTAACTATAGTAATAGTATTGATATACTTAGTAAATCAATATGGACAACACCTTCAACAACAACAACAACAACAACAACAACAACAACAACAACAACAACAACAACAACAACAACAACAACAACAACAATGACTATTGTATCAAAGATGGAAGAGACATTGGAGAGAAAAAAAGCAACTAAATTATTATAGAAAACAGAAGTATGCTATAGATTACAGAAGAATATACGAAGCTGCATACTATTCAAATACAGGTATTTGTGGAAATGTTGGTTCAAACTTAAGTTCTCCAATTGGAGAAAAAAAAACTAAAAAAAATTAACAACCTATAGGTTTTTAAGCGACTAGTAAGGGTGTTTCACTACAGGTAAGAAATGCTCTTAGTTGATCACTTTTAATATGAGGATTTGAAACGACACTACATATAAATAAATTATTTTGTTAATGAGACAGTCTTAACCTCTCACACTGATTTAAAGTGGTGCACTCTATTTTATTTATTTTTTTTTTTTTTAAACTCTCACACTGATTTCGTTCGTTACCAATACTAGTGATAACAATAAATACCATAGATATTGTAAATAATTTGGTGTGAAATCAGTATCAAGGTTGAAAATGTATGATTTTTTATAATAACATTAATAATAATAATAATATTTCAAAAAAATTTGATCAATTTTATTTAATGTTTACATTTTTAATTTCTTACAAATAATCATCATCATCATTATTATTATTATTATTATTATTTAAAATTGAAATGTTTTCAATATTTCTCTTTTTGATATTTTGTTTTGCTAAAGATTTGTACATTCCTATCATATGATTCATTTCTGTTATAATTGTTTCTTTAGGATTTTGAAAAGATGGAAGCTGATTATATTGGTGATAATGGTTGTGGAGTTTCTCTACCATTTCCTTTTGCTCTTTTCTTTTTTGTATATTAGGTTTCTTTTTTTTGGAAGTCTCTGATTCACTCCTTTCTTCATTATTATTATCAACTTCTTTCTCATCATTATCAGTTTTTTCTTCATCAGTTGAATTTTCATTTTCAAGTAATTTGTTAACATTGGTTTCCAAATTTAACTTGAAATTAATATTTATCAACTTTTTTTGTAACTGTTGGTAAAAATCTTTTACCAAAATTTGAAACTTATATCCATCAGATAAGTATCTACTACCAGAATATATCATGGTTCTATTTTTACCATTAACAGTTATTCTACCTTCATGGAGTTCAATTGAGTTTTGGATAGTTTCAAATATCGTATGATTATCAAACTTTATGGAACAATTATAGAAAGCAAATAAGCAATGACTTTCAATGTCTTTGGTTTTATCAACTTGAAAACTTTTTAATTTTCCCAGTTCAATATGAGTGTGTGATGCATGATAATAAATTCTGAATTTGAAAGCATTCTCAACTGCATCAGAAAAAAGACTAAAATTATTATCTTCCAAAACCATTGGAAATAATATAGCTCTAAAGCATTGAGTACCATTAAAAATACTTTCATGTTTAAGAACCAGTTTTTTAACATAATCCAAATAGGTTTTAATAGATGGATTATTACTATTAACCTCTGATTTACTTAAAAATGTTTTTTGGAACATTTAAAAATGCATCTTCTAGTTGATTATTTTGAATAAGTTTAGAAAGTACAGGTTGAGGAGGAAACAATGTAATAATCTTAACCTTATTCTTGTAGGTATTATAGAAATGTTCAAGGAAATATCTACAACGAAAAGTTCTGTCAATAGCAGTGGTAAGAAAAACTGATCCAGGAGCAGAAGATTCTGCAAGATTATAGATAAGAAAGTTATCTGTTGATTTAGAAACTAAAGCTAACTTTTCTTTGGTTGTATTCAAACCTTCAAAGTTTAGAAATTCATGTGGAGGTTGAAAACTATAACATGATGCAATTGTTTTTATACCTTCATAAAGACTAGATATAAGTTCATTTTGTAATTCAATTGAATCACCCTCACCAATACCCATTCCAGAAGAAGTTCTTGAAAAGATGATAACAGTTGGATCAATTGTGGCAACTGGTTGCTTTTGTATTCCTTGAATTAAATTCAAAGGATTCTCAGGGTATTTAAAGATCTTAAATACTTTTGAAAGTACTTGATCATGTTTTGCAGTTGTTAAACTTGCATAGGTTTTCTCTAAGACTTTACAAATTTCAACATGTCTTAGTGAATAAAGTGTAAGACTTAAGTTATATTAAGGATAGTTATATTAAGTTCTAAAGTGTTATATGTATCTCTAACGTACTATAGACCTTACTGAACCACAATGGTTTAATGTTTATTATATATGTTTATTAGAGACCCTAGATCTCTAGATATTACTATATATGGAAATGTTACTAGTTTTGTCTATTGTTCTATACTAAGACAAGTTACCTAAACAGACCAATGTCTGACAATCCCCCCTTTCTTCTTAGGATGGAATGTAGACTTCTGGATCCTTATCTAAGACTTGGAACAGCTTTTCTAATAGTACACCACCACACTTATCAGACAGTACTAACAGTGATGTCACTACTTGATCTTTATATTTGTCTTGCAGACATTCTTTCACAATATCTTTGGTAGCTTGTGAGACATTTGATTTCTCTTGATTGTAATTGACACTATCCTTGGTATAACCTTTGTCTTTAAGTTCCTCTGAGCTGAACCACTTTTTCTGGTTAGATATTTGTACTAAATATTCTACATGTTTCTTAGCACTCTTTCTCTTACCAGTTACCCATCTTTTAGCCATTATACGTAACATTCCAACACCCATTCTAGAGTTAAGTATCTTTTCAACTAGACTAGCAATCTCTTTAGTCTTGGTTGGCTCCTTTTCCTCTAGCTCAAATAATTCTATAACATTATTCCTCCATTTGTTGGTTCTTTCGTCTTTTTCTTTCTTTAGAATTTCTATCCATTCTTTCAGATGATTTGAGTTCTTTATATCAATGTAAGATTCTAATTCTATCTTTTTGAACTTCTCAATATCCATGAGTAAATCATCCAATATTCTATGAGCGGCTTCTTCATCACCATTTCTGGAATTTCGTTGAAGATACTCCACCCACCTTTTTCCTTTGGTATTTCCAGATTCCGTAGAGACACTACTATCCAATGATCCCATAATGCTTTTACCTTGGACTCCTGCTAACTCTTGGTGCACTAC